GGGGGGGGGGGGGGGGGGGGGGGGGGGGGGGGGGGGGGGGGCAGGCACTGCCTCCCGTACGTTTTTCTCCGAGCTTTCTGAAAAGATATTTCTCGGATGCATACACCAAGTAGACAAGAATGTACGCGTGAGTGCCCTCATGAAGCCGCGGCAGCAGCCAATAGCGCTACTCCAATGCCGTTATTTAGTGCTCGGCTGTTTGTGTGTGTAGTACGCACAACACCCAATGGAAGTACAAGAAAGTCCCCGCCCCATCACACACGCACCCCACCCCCTCGCGTGTGCTCGGGTTTTCCACAGAGGGAGGCGCTTCGTCAACATCGACTTTCCCGGGGTTGGCGTCTACGGCGCCCCTCCCCTACTGGGGGGACGCCGCTCCCACCCGGGCGCAACGGCTTGTGCACGGGCTGCTTAGCGTCGGAGTACAGTGGGGGTTTGCGAGGCTGCGGCGGCACGGACTGATTCACGGGTGGGGCGGGGAGGACGCGGTGAGTGTTCCCCTCGGGCGGCGATTTATTTTGTCTCTCACGCAACGGTTCCATCAGGCCCAAGCTAGAAGCAAGCTACCCTGCTGTGCAGGCAGACCTTCTCCTTTATTCATGTTATCACAAAATGGATAGATCCCTCGTCACGCGATTTCCCGCACGGAAATAGGCCCGATTGCTGTTGACGGCAACTCCAATCTACATTTACCCGACGATCTGCGGAATTTCAATTTTTAGAGAATGTATGTACATATAATGACAGAACTGCTCGCCGTTCGAGAAAATATCCAGTTGTTGGTCTTGGCTTTAGGGCCTGGTCTTCCCGCTAGTTTTTAGGAAAAATACATGCGCATCACAGAAATACTTACTCCCCTGTTATTCACCTCCATCGTTTGCTGTTTGGTTCTCCTGCAAGCAGGGGAGAGCGCGCCGAGTGGCCTGGCATGTCCTGGGTAGGCTGGAGACTCTGTTTCGGTTGGCGTGGATGGTGAACCTGCTGCTTTTCCTCAAGAGCGGCAAGTACGCTACGCCGGTGGACCGCCTGGTGCGGATGCGCATGGTGAGACGAGACCCGAAATGTATGTCTTGACGCCCGTGGTGTGTTGTTCGCTTTTGCTCACATGGCATCTCCGTAGATGTCATCATTGGTAATCGTAGATAACTCCGTTGGTCTCCGTAGATACCCTCCTTGGTCTCCGTAGATATCTACCTTCCTTGGTCTACGTAGATGCCGTCCTTGGTCTACGTAGATACCTGTTGGTTGGTACACGTCCATCGCCGTTCAAAGGTGTGCCGATTTCTTGGTGGCTACATGAATGTTATTTTTTCCGATGGGACCACGTTTGTTCTCACACTTTCTTCTGCGTGGCACTCAGAGGACCCGTCGGTACATCACCCGTTACGTGTGGGGCTCACGAGACATGGGTAGTGCACGTCATGGCCCATGAAAAGTCGCTGGGACTGGCTCTCTTTCAGGGGCTGCGGATCCGAACCAAGAAAGCCTTCAGATTTGTTATGAAAAGTGAACAAACACTTTCTAGCGGGGTGTTTTCCTCTTTGGCGGTGTGTCTTTTAGTTGAACGTGTCTTCCACCAGGAGGGGGATGGTTCTGTGCGGAGCAGAGTCTTTTCGTCATGATGAGTCTTGCGCGGTTTGTTTATTGAGAACATGAACGAAATTGAAAGACAAGCACCACACATGGTACGTTTCACCTGAATCAAGAAGGACAGACCCCCCCATGAACGTTCAATAGCCTTGGCATCGAAAACCAAGTCGATGAGTTTTGGTGGCAGCGGAGCGTTTGTTTTTCCTTCAGCAGCCAACAGCAGCACAGTTTTCTTTTTTGTGCAGTCCCTCGTGCGCGAAATACCGTTGACGCCCAGCGATGTAAGGTCTCCTACTCGAACACAAACACCATGGTTGTTTCTTGCGCCAAAATGGTGTTTGTGTTCGAGTGGGCGACCTCACAACGCTGGGCGAAACGATTTCGCGATTCGTAAATATCTATTGTAAACTTGTCGGGTCTCTGTGAGTGTTTTTCAACTTGAGTCACCCCCGGGACCTTGTACGCACGTACATACATGCATACATACATACATACATCCGTACATACATACATACATACATACATACATACATACATACATACATACATACATACATACATACATACATACATACATACATACATACATACATACATACATACATACATACATACATACATACATACATACATACATACATACATACATACATACATACATACATACATACATACATACATACATACATACATACATACATACATACATACATACATACATACATACATACATACATACATACATACATACATACATACATACATACATACATACATACATACATACATACATACATACCTTAGCATCTAGCTTGGTCTGGTTGCGTTTCGCAGCTGCCGCTCTCTCGTGAATAAAACTTTTTTCGGCATGCACGTTCAAACCGATTCCCGCCGTTCTGCCGGCTCCCGCACGGGATAGAATGTAGCGGGCACGGCCCGAGAGTCTCGCGCCACGCGGCGCGCTGTGTCGGGAGCTGCTGTTGTTGGAAAGTCGCTGGAATGAAAATCAAAGATTTCGTTCTCTCGGCAGCTCCGGTCGGTTCCGTTTTTTCTTCTTTTTTCTCATCTTCGTCACAACCAGCTGTGACCGTAAATTGACTGGAGCAGCTGGCAGCGGCAGCAGCAGTCTCCACCTCCCGCAACTCTCGGACGGGAATGATGTTCGCACAGCGCGCCCGCTGTGTGCACTGGTAAAGATTTGGTTCTATCGGCAGCTCCGGTCGGTTCCGTTTTTTCTTGTTTTTTCTCGTCTACGTCACAACCAGCTGTGACCGTAAATTGACTAGAGCAGCTGGCAGCGGTAGCAGCAGTCTCCACCTCCCGCAACTCTCGGACGGGAATGATGTTTGCACAGCGCGCCTTGCGCGTAGCGCGCCCGCTGTGTGCACTGGTGTAACCCACGACAGCTACCCGCAAGGACTAGTCTAGGACTCTTTTCGTCCCCGAGCAGATACGAGGTAGTGTGTGTTTGTTGCACAGTGTGTGTGTTGTGTTTTCGTCCTATTTATTATGGCGACAGTGCCCCCATTTTTCGTGGTGAGACGTGTGCTACACTTTTCAGCGTATGTAGAGTACTACACTTTTCAGTGTATTTTTTTCGTACAACTACAACCATCCAGGGTCACGCAGGAGGGGGTAAATATACACCAGGGCTTTTTTACTTCTTTCTATTTATTTTCGTGCCAAACCTTCCTCCTGCGGTGCGTGCTGATTTTTTTTATCGCGAAAAGGGTCCAGTATCTCTTTCCCCCGTCAACGGTGCTAACGCCGAAGTTTGGTACTCACGCGAGCTTGCAGCTATTTTTCGCTTTCACCCGCAAATCTCGAATGTTTTTCACCCCACGGGGATTCGAACGGACGACCTCTGCGACTAGCGGATTATGAGGATACCACTAGACAACCGGGGCGACCGGTACACAGTGTAGCTCTTTCTTCTTTCTGATCCGATGTTTTTTTTCGGGAACGAACATGAACTCACGCGTGTGCGAATCGGTACCATAGTATGTATCTAGCTTACCCCCTGCACATACTAGATCGGGAGGTGGAATAGTTTTTTGTTGAAAAAAATACCTGCAGCAGGCTTGTGCGGGGATATAATACACATTGGATTGCGTTCGTTCGCAGTCGCCCACATGCCTATTGTCAAAAAAATGTCTTGGAAAAAAAAGACACCTCCACACGGACTCGAACCCATTATTTCGAGAGTCAGGGTGGCCTTCACCGAGTTCACGAAGTGAATTGGCTTTTTTACAACGTCGTTGCCAAGCGACGAAAACCCAATCCCGATGGCAAACACCGAGGGGGGGGCTTGTTTTAACAACTTCGTTGCCAAGCGACGAAAAGCCAACCCCGATGGCAAACACCGGGGGGAGGGAGGTGTACTCCGGGGGGGAGGGAAGGGTGTGGTATGTTAACAAATAGGGCTAGCAGCTAAAAAATAAAAAATTGTCTCTGCTGTTGTGCTTCGCTTGTTGGTTCGAGCTTTGATCGAGAAATCTCAAAAGCGTTCAAGCGTGTGATGGGTAACCAGGCTAGCACGGGAGGCACTGGTCGCACACTAGGCCTTCGCGCACAAAAGTGTAGAGAGGCGTACAGCAGTACATGTCGCACCAATGGTGGTGCGTAGCAGCGTCTGTGTGTTGTTGGTGTCATGTGCCCCTCTCCGCGGAAAGAGAGAGAAAGAGGCCGCTGCTGCTGCTGCTGCTGCTGCTGCTGCTGCTGCCGCTGCAACCAAATGTTGATCTCTCCTCTCGCTTCCTCCGCCGATAGCTAACAGCAGCAGTGTATGGCACACCCTTCTTCCGCCGTCTCGCCCTCGCTGTGATCTTGTGTCTCCCTCTCCCTGTGTGTCCATGTCTGGCTCTGTGTGTGTGGTGTGTGGTGTGCGAGGCTACCTGTCTTGGTTCAAAATCAAACGACGCCTCCTCTCGGTGTTGCAAGGGGCCAGAAACTTCCCTGCTTTAAGTTGGGTTCCGACGCTGCACTATCTCGACGCACCGAGCACGGATTGAAAAGGTAGCAGTTGGGGCAGCTCGGGCAAAAAATTACTTGTTGTGAACACGTCTTAGATTGCAATTTGGTGCCGAGATGGTGAAATGGGCTGGAATCTGCTGGGTTATATATCGAGGCTGGTCACAGACAGACAGACAGACTTAGTTGGCCCGTTTTGCCCCCCTCCTCAAAACAGCTTTTTTTTTTAACAAAAAGCGCCCCTATCGGGGGACTTCCCTTCAAAAAACAACTGTTTTAAAAACATGCTTCTCATTCGTACGTCTACCTTTTGTACATACATCAACTTGCGAGACGGTAAACAAGTACTTACAGCCACTGCTTGTAACAGTGCTACTGCTGCTGTATAGAACCACGCGGGGACACAGCTCTTCCAAAAGTTGGGAAAACAAACAAGAAACGCAGCTTGCTGGATTCTGAGGCCGTCTGCCTGATGTTGTGCTGGTGGTGGTGGTGCTGCTGCTGCAGTCATTGCTGTAGTCCTTCACGGCCTTAGCATCAACCAGAGTCGCACACAGAGCAGACACATTTTACACACACACGAACAGAATTGCCGTTTCGTGTGGAAGTGTATGCCCCGGGATCACCGCTGTGCAATAACCGCTGTGATGACGCACTTCTTGCGATATCAGACGGTGAACTTCTTCGAACCTGATCTATGTTTCTTTCGCCCTACCACCGTAGACAGACGTGTTGCACTACAGCAGTATCTATTCGGTCCTCGATTTAGTAGGTGGCTGGTGTGCTAGCGTCAAGTAGTCATAGCTCTGCATGACGTTACCAAGTTACATCGCATAGATACCTATTTCTTGCGCATCTAGAGCCTGGAAAGCAGCGTGAAGAGCGTCGGAGCGGGTAAACATTTACGCCAGCATGTACACGGACGACCTCAACTTGGAGGCGTTGGCAATGGCCGAACGAGCGAGGCAAGCACCAAACGAACACATACCCGCCCACCCACGTGGGCAGCTCCACAACCCCGCAGACCCGGGGCCCCGTCTGATCAACTACCGACCCCCGACCCCCCCCAGGTTCACGACCGCGCAGACCCGGGGCCTCGGCCAATCAACTACCAGTTCCTTAACCGCAGGCTACTCTGGGATCACTGGGCCAAGATGGCCTACGTCGTGGCCCCACTCATCAACTGGGGCTTCGTGAGGAGAGCAGTGTCGGGGGGGGCGGGACGCTTGAGAAGAGAAGCCCGCGCGTTCGGCATATTTGGGGGCAGCAGCGGCGGCGCCGGCAGGGTTTCGGCAAGAGGGCTGGGGGCCGATACTGCTCCTGCTGCGGAAGCAGCGGTGGCGGAGGTGGTGCTGACGGCGTGCGCGGAATGTGGAGCCAACCCGGCGAAGGTAAATATATTCTAGGCTGTGCCCCCTTTTTTTCTTGCCACCATTAACAAAAGCAGCAATCCCTGCGGGTCTCAAACATTGGTGTTGCGTGGGTTTTTCATGCCATGGTAAGTCAATCGGGCAATTTGCTGGGTCCTGCGGCAGCTTCTCATTCTGATACCTAGCAAGCCTTCGCGCCTTGCAGCACATGAAGGACTATAATAGTGTTAGAGTTGGCGTTCCGTGCTCTCTTGTGCACGCATACTTGTCGAGATGCTATGGCTACGACTACCTATCGTATATTTGTAGGACACAACATAACCCAACCCCTGGACCGATTTTCACAGCTCGATTTATCGACAGCGGAAAGAGTCGCAGCGCCGAAAACGGTGGCGTTGAAGCCTTATGGTCGAGATCTTTCCGAAAACATATCGCTTCGTTTATGCGTCCTCTTCGTCGTGGAGTAATCGGGCGTTGAAAATCGGTCCAGGGGGGGGTCTTATCTTGTGTCGTATACGGTAGCTCCCGCCGAAGGTGTCTCCACGCGAGAGACATGAACAAGATGATGTCCATCACCACTCCCACAGAAGGTTCCACGACCCCCACAATGCACCGCACAGCGGGATATCCTTCTTACGGTAGGGTATAGTTAGGGGCGTGTGGTATATTGCGTCATTTTCGGTGTAGCTTACCTGAGTAGGGCTAGTGCGAGGTCTGGAACTGATTCCGTCTTTCGAAAGTTGAGCTACAATGAAGGGTCGTTCACATCAACGAGATGGAGGGGAGATGGCTGTTGACGCGGGGCCACGTCAGAGGTCACCTTTCCTCCATCTCTTTGATGTTAATGACCCTTGTATGTTGCTCAACTTTCGGAAGATGCGCGTCAGCAGTCACCTCCCCTCCATCTCCTTGATTTCGAACGGCGGAAGATCAACAAAACTGATTTCGTCTGAATCAGGTGATCGTTGTTGGTAGTACTGTAGCTTGCTTTGTTTAACCCAACTCCGCAAAGTCGTCTTGAGTTTGTCCACCTCATTTTCGGGCCGAAATTGGCTTGGTTTTGTAGCTATATGTTGGACCCACACGTGTGGCAACCTCTGCAGCGGAAGTGCTTGATCCATGCTGATGTGTACTAAAATAATAAGCGACCAGATGTCTTCGACCCTCGTCCATCAATCGTCGCCTTCTCTCTCTCTCTCTCTCTTGCTCTCTCTCTCTCTCTCTCTCTCTCTCTCTCGCTCTCTTCCGTCCCATTCGTACACACGAAGCCCCCTCGCTTGAAGCCATGCCTGTCATGTCTACCACCCCAGCTCGGTTGCTCCTGACCCATCGATATCCCACGTAAACCTCCCCGTCCCCTACCTACTCCCGGCTGTCCATCGCTGCCCGGCGTTAACCTTGACTTCTATCACAGACTCCTTACGTGACGGGGTGCGGCCACGTATTCTGCTACTACTGCGCGAGGGTGGCTTGCACGGTGGACCCCCGATACGCCTGTCCGCGCTGCGGGGAGTACTTCGCCACATCCCGTCGATGGTCCCAGCCGCGGTGACCCCGCACGGGCTAAATACAGTAAAGATCCCTGTTTGGTGCCTGTTGAATATTGGCTGTGTCCGGTATAGTGCCGGTGCTTTACGAGGGCACGCACTGAATTTCCAACAGACACTCTCAATACTTTGAACAGCGCCGGCCCGGTAGTGCCCGTGATTTTCTTGGCGCATACAGACACTAAAGAGGGAACTGTACTGCACTTCCTGTTCCCGTTGCATAAGCGTTGTTGGATGGTGGGGACGTTATACGCGCGCACCCGACTGCTTGTGTGCGCAGACTTGCTTTGCGTTTGCGGCTGTTGTACGATCTTAGTGTTGGGCTAAGCATGCGATCTCTAGCCGTGTTTGTATGTGCGTTACCTTAGAGTTGGTTCCAGACTGGCTATTTTTTCCAGCAGCATGATTTGTGGTGTGCTTTGTTGATTGCCCCGTTGTTGTCTCCAAATGTATTTATTTATCCATGTCGGTGGAGGTATCAAGTTTTGTGATCGCGGCAGGGAAACGAGAGTGTCTCTCTCAGCCCTCATCATAGGTGAGTTGTTCGTGTTCGTAAGTGTGTTTTGGCGCTGTTCGACGGCTCTCTGCATTAGTATGTCGAACGACCAGGCAACACCCTATGACGTGTGCCGTGGGACGGCACACCAGCGAATATCTACTTGCGTGCATCGGCGGAGACCACTCGCTTGTTGTTTCATCCATGACGAGTTTGTGAAGGCCGTCCACATCCCTCCGCAGTAGACTCTTGTGGCCAGCGTGCCTGACAACGGTATGGCCGCCCCGCCCCCGTCACAAACACGTTCAGGAGACCATTTCGTGCGAGGCCTTGTTTGAAGCTCAAAGGGGGGGGGAGGGGTACCGCACCAACCGTCGCTTCTTCACGATAACAATATTTTCTGCAGCGATGTCTTCCTGTAAATACCTTTCAACAAGCACGGCGGTATTATCCGACAAATGGCCTGCGGGGCGGTAATTATGCTGGCGAAGCCAACCAACTGCAAGAATATACTAACAACGTACGTCGTCGTCGTGGACACCACAAAACGGGATCGATCGTGTGCACGTTGGTACCTCCTCGATAGAGTACGAACCCTCCAGCTTCATGAAATTGATCGGTGTTTGTGCCGAAGTAAAGCATAAAGCACGTCCATCTCCCAACGACTGACCCGCCGGGTGTCATGGCACAGCAGCACAAGTACAATCGTGTTCCGCGCGAGGGATATACACTGCAACATTGGTGCTGTGATGCTATGGTATATGACTATGACAATCAAGCACACACCATAGCTGTGATGATACGGGGGCGACGTGGATCAGCAGACACCGCAATGGGGGTATAGGGGACTTCGCAAAATGCAAAAGCTACCAGTGTAGCGTTCACCACGGCAGCGTTGGTGGATCATGTCCAGGGTGAGAGATACAGCGGATCAGCCGGTCGACAACGGTACTAGGAGGTATTCTACCCCCAGTCGGGCTACATCGAGCACTCCCCCGCGGGTGGAAACCTCGCCAGAAAATTCAAATGGGAATGGGCGGTTCTACGGCTTGATCCAGAGCACGCAGCAGCCGCGACAGCAGCAGCCGTCTCAAGGTGTAGTGGCGTCTGGTCACGCTCTTGCTGCTTCGGCGAATGGGTGCGTAGGAAAAGGGAAAGGGAAGCAACCAGAAACGAAGAGTGTTGCTGCTGCCCCTTTGCCGGAAGGAGAGGAGACCGCGCCGGTTACGGGGAAGCGAGCCGCCGCCCCAGCGGCACACATGACGAGCGTGGCGGAGGCGGCGGTAGCAGTGCATGGTGGTGTCGGCACTACGCCTCGCGGGCGTCTACGGAGAGAGTCTCGCGGGCAAGGTCACAGCAGCAGTATGACATCGCCAGCCGCAAAAATGGCGACTGCGAAAGGGAGATCCAGAACAACAACGCTGCCGCCGCCGTCGCATGCTGCTGGCGGGCCCGCAGAGGGTGACGGGACGGGTGTGGGGGGAGCTACAACCGCCCCGAAGCGCGGCAGCAGCCAGGGTACGAACGACGGCGGGAGGAGATCAACCAAGAGAAAGAGGAAAAACAACGACGGCAGCACTGCGGCTACAGCGTTGCCGTCAGGATCACGAGCAAGCAAGGCCCAGCGGCGGACCGAGGGCGCTGAAGGCCCACCGCCGCTCGGTGGTAAAGGCTGCAGACCGATCCAAACGTGCCGGGCGCAGGGCCTCCCTTCCCCTTGCCTCACGACCCGGAGCTTCGGTTTCCCCGGCGGATTGAGGATGTTCTGCCAACGGCACCAGTCCGAGGGCATGGTTAACCTCGCACTTCTCAGCAAGCTCAAGTCTATTCAGCAGAAGAAGGCGGCGGCAGCGGCAGCGGCGGCTCCGGCTCTGGCTCCTGCAGTCGAAACCAAGGCGATAAACGTACGGAGACAACCCACCCTTTGCCCCCAAACGAAAGGACAACGACGATCCTCCATGGTCGGCCGCGGACGGTCTTCGCAGCCCGCGCTGAAGAAGGCTCGCCATCATGCTCCCGGTAGCACGCGGCTGAAAAAGAAACCAAGCGGTGCCCGGGGAGCTAGGAGCAGCGGCGCGGTAGCGATTGGTGGGCACGGTCGGGGGAAGGCTGCTGCTGCTGCTGCTGCTGCTGCTGCTGCTGCTGCTGCTGGGGCTACGTTCGTGCCTGATGCGGATGGGAAGCCGGCGGTACGCGTCGCGAGGAGCGCCGTCGCCAGCCGGAAACCTACCGCTCCGGGAGACGCCAACGGCGACGGCGGCGCCGGCGGTAGCATTTCCCACAAGCCGGTGTGCTCTGAGGAAGGGTGCACGGCCCCCTCGAGGTTCGGGTGGGTCACCAGCCGCAGGCGGCAATACTGCTGCACCCACAAACGCTTCGGAATGGTCAACCTCGACAGGGGGACGAGAGGCAAGAGGGTGGCGCCGGTGCCGGTGCCGGCGCGGAAATCTGGGCGCCGTCGACGCCGCGTTGTCTTGGCCGGCGAGGATCTCCGCACGTCGGAGACGACTACGGTGGTGTCCGGAGACCCTGTTCCGCCTGATAATGTCGCCGGTGGCAGCGGTAGCAGCAACAATAGTGGCGGCACCTGCCGTGGCGGAGAGGAGTTGAGCCTAGGGGCGGGTGCCGTCGGTTGCAGCGGCCACCGGAGCAAGCGAAAAAGGAAGATGACCGAGAAGATGGCCACCTCCTACGCCGCCGCCGGGGGTAGGATGGGTGATGGGTACGGCAAGCTCATGAAGCAACCGGCCGCCAAGCTCGTAAAGAAGGCAGATATCGCCGACTTCGCCGCCACTCGTGGCGAGCCCAGGCCGCCGCCGCCGCCGCCGCCCCGCGCGAAGGCCAAGCTACAGCAGAGGCAATCGAGGGTGGCGGTGGCCGGTGCTCGCGCTACCGCTGCTGCAGCTGCTGGTGCCGTGCCGTGGACGACGGGACGCAAGGGTTTGTCTCGGAGCGACGGCCGACCGGGGGCGCGAGGGCCGGCGGCGGAGGCGTCTCCGTCGAAGAGACAAGGGTGTTACCAGAGGTGCAAGAACGCGGGATGCGAGCTCCACGCGTCGTTCGGGTTCGTGGGAGGCGCGGGGCATAGGCGTGACTTTTGCCGGGCGCACGCGCTCCCGGGCATGGAGAACATTGCAGCCGCGGACAAGAGGGCGAGGTTGGAATCTGCGGCGGCGACGGCGGCGGGGGGGGGCGTTGCAGGGAGGTTGTTGCCGGCCAAAGCGGTCAAGCAGGAACTTCCTTCCGAAAAGAAGGAGAGGGCAAGGCGGGCGGCCAAGGGCCCAGCTTCCGCTGCTTCTGCTTGTTCCGCGCCGCCTTCCAACGCCCACAGCGGCGGTGGCGGCCGCACGGCTGGCGGCAAGAGCGCGCACGCCCCCTACGGGATGACCAGGAGCCCCGTCTACCGCTCGGGGCCAACCGCTCGCGCAAAGACCGGCGGCAGCGGGCCGGCCACCCTCCAGCGCCGCCCGGGCGGCCTCGTCAGCAGGAAGGGCACAGGCACGGGCAAAGGAAACCGGAAGGCGGCTTCGGTGCACGAGAGGGGCCGTGGCGGATGGGGCACTGAGGCAAAGGCCGGCAAAGGCGGCAAGATGGGGAAGACTAAAGCAGAGGGCAGCGACGGTTCTGCTCATAACCACGATGACGGTTTTGCTCCGGACCAGAAACGGGCGACGAGGATATGCAGGGGAGCGAACTGCAACCGCATCGCCTCTTTCGGGTTTCCGGGAACGTCTCGCGTGTTCTGCGCCCAGCACCAGCCGGGAGGTAAAAGCTAACTCTCAAAAAGCCAACACAAACGGCGCACATTCCACGTGTAATTGTCGTTGTTGTTGGCTTCTCCGCTGGACAGACTGGATGTAAACCAACCACCGGCATATGCATGCATGCATATCTTATGTTTTTCTGTTGTTTGGACCTGCTGTACGTCGGGGCGGGGGGGGGGGGGGGGGGGCGACATGACGTCACACGACAACAAAGAAGCATCAACTCCCCTGCACTCCACCGGAGGTTTCAAAGTGCAATTTTCCTACACCTCCCCACGGGTCGAATATCCGAGTATCCGAGGATGCAAGTTCGTGGCTCGGCCTCCCGCATGCACAAGCCCCAAAATCTCACCGTGGCTAATACCGCGCGACACCCAACACGAAAAAGACTATCTAAAACAACGTGGCAATACATGGAACGCGCGTAGCAAGGAATTGTACCGCGCATGCTCTTACTTCTTCACAACCCCAGTTGTGTCAAAACGCCCATACCTGGTGAGAAAAACCTCAAGCTGGACCTTGAGGTGGTCCTTGATGGAGTTGAACAGGTTGAACACCACCCTCAGCGTAAGGCTCAGCACGTCCAGGTCATCCGTCTGGCTGTTCTGCAGCAGGTGCTTACACAGGTCCCCCCGCATGACCCTCACGAGGGACGGTATCCTTCCAAGGTCCGCGCCCCCCGCCTCGAGCGCGATGTTGATCAAGCTCAGGCTGAGCANGGGGGGGGGGGGGGGGGGGGGGGGGGGGGGGGGGGGGGGGGGGGGGGGGGGGGGGGGGGGGGGGGGGGGGGGGGGGGGGGGGGGGGGGGGGATGCTAGGATGCGCTGATGGTGCTAACGGTAGCTTGCACCGGTCGGGCTATTCGTTTACTGCGTTTGTAGTAATATACCAAGTGTGTGCTGTTTACACGGCGTTCAGATGCATGGAAGCCCTAGCTGGTGAGCTTGAGCTTTTAGCCTTCATATTTCTTCTTCTTGGTTTTCGGGTGCAGGCATGGCGTGGACGAGGCTACGGGAGGTCCAGTGAATCTTCGTTGACTACCGCTGCTGTTGGTAGTGGTGTGGCGGAGTGTTGCTGCTGCTGCTGCTGCTGATGCTTGTCCGCCTGATGCTGCTAATGCCTTTGTTGTTACTGCTGTTGCTGCTGAATCCGGTGCTGCTACTCCTGATGTTGGTGATACGGTTGCTGCAATTATCGTTGCTGCTGCTGGTGTCACTGTTTTGGAACGTTGTCGCTGATGTCTACCCATTGTGATCCCCGTCCTTGCCTACAGGCATGGTAAACCTGACCTACCAAAACGTCGCCGCCAGGGCCAAACGCATCGCTGCAGCAGCAGCGGCCGCCGCAGGTGCCGGGGCAAAGGTTGAGGACACCTCCGGCACAGGGCCTCGCGGTCACTCCGATGGCAAGCGCGGTGGTGGTGGAA